AAACAGTAATAAAAAATGGCGCCTAAAATTTTGGGGATAAGCTGAATTCAACATATATATTTTTTTATTTTTTCAGGGTTAATTACCAACGTGACTCTCGTCGGTAACTAGGAAAACAAAAATCAAAAATCGCGCCAGAAAAAATTGGCGCCTAAAATTTTGGAGATGATTTCAACCTGTAGCGAAGATCTTCGCGGTCAGACGTGGCTCTTGTCGGTGATTTAGTAACAGGGCCAACCATTTCTGCTGCATTGGCAGACGTGATGTTCGTCGGTGATTAGCGTAGGGCTCGAGGCTCCTCCTTACATGCAGACGTTATCCTTGTCAGTAATTTACCGACGTGGAACCAGAGATGTTTTCCGGTTAACTATTCCGACTCCCTATTTGCAAGATGTTTTTTGTCGGTAATTGTGAGTGCGTTTACCAACGTCATTTTCATCTACGTCGATGATTTAATTACTGAGCCGGGCTTCACCGAGGCAACCATTACCGACATGATGCAAGTGGGTACTTTGTTTCACCGACCAGATTCCCTCTTTCTCCGACATGGTTTCTCATCGGTGATACAGTGAATTCTTGTAGTGTACTATTATTATTATTTTACTAAAAATTAAGTTTCCTTCAACAGAGTAAAATTTTTAGAGACGAAGATTTAAAATTTTTAATTTAAAAGCTAAACCAATCTCTCTGTTTCATCGACAAAAAATAACCTACATGAGAGTGATTGGCAGTGCTTAAAAGCAAGTTCTTTAAAAAATAAAATTTTTTATGATAAATTTTAAAATTTATTACAGAAAAATTTAAAACTAAGTTTTTACAGTGGCTTTTATGTAAATTTCAAGAAAACTACACATCTTAACTCTTAAAAAAATTGGTATTAATTTTTTGAAACCATACTTGAGAGTTTGCCCTGTGGTGTGATATAATCTAACTTGTTAGTGTTGAGTGATATAAATTTTAGATTGACGATATAACAAAAAAAAAAACATGATACTTAAATATAAAAAGGATTATTTTATCTATTACTAATTAACTTTAAGTTGGATTCAAATCTTATATTGAATTTTACATATCAATTTTCATGGTTAGGGCAAAGGTTGGATCCAAGTAAGTGTCGTTTTGGTATTAGTATTTAAGGAAATTAGTCTTTAAATGTATTAGATCAATATAGGAGATGTATTATTAAAATTAGGAAGCTTCTTTCTAGTGCTTTGATAAGAGTGCAATAAATGTATTTTTTTATAATTAAATTTTATTAAAATGGCATAGAATAAGAATGCAATAAGTGTATTCTTTTATAATTAATTTTTATTAAAAGTGTAATTGTTGATTTTGATTTAATCAATTAACTAATTAAAATCATTCACATATCAATGATATTAAAATATATGTTAATTTTTATAATTTTTAATGTGAATTAATTATAAAAAAAATACATTTGTTACATCCTTAACTTATGCTCTTAAGATACAAGTTAGATAAACTCTTAAAATTATTTAAAAAATAAGAGATTGTGAATTTTCAAAACTGCTTAACAGTCCTGAAAATCACTTTTCTGTATAGATAAATTAGTTTTTAAATGTCTATAAACTAATCTGGTACACCTTGACAATTAACTTGAAACAAATGATATAATGTACCGTACACCCATACAAAGAAATCCTAACAATAAATAGGGTAAGTGATGAAAACTTTAAAGGGCCTTACCGTTCCTTACCATAAATTAAATTAAGACAATAATTAATGTATATTTAATTTAACATATTTTATAACATATTTATTAAAAAATTATTATTTTTAAATTTAAATTTAATGTAAAAAAATTTCATTTATAAAATTTAATAATTAAACTAATAAATGTTAATAAATGTATTGAATTGAAAAGTGTACCAATTATTATCTATTAAATTATTCTCAATTTAAATTATCCAAATTAATCAAATTAATCAAAGACATTATAGATTCATAAAATCAGGTAGCAACATCGTCATACAATCCCTTGAAGAAATTTTCAAAATATTCTTCATTGACCTCAAGAAGAAAAGTCAATGACCTCGCAAGCTACTCGTGGAGAATTTTATACCACAGTTGTTCATCAAAAGCCCTTTTTTGGTGCATTGATCTTCATTTCTAGAATTTGGGTTTTGGTGATAAATGCCTGATAAAGTGAAGCTGTAGGAATGAGGACAAAAACAAAGAATCATTATTCGCAAGTAGAAGTTCATCTTTTATTGAACATACTGAATCAAGAATTCTTGTGAAAAATAAAAAAATAAAAATTGTCTAGTTTACCTTCAAAAGATGTAGAGGTATAATAAATTTGGAATTTTAACTTCTAAAATTAGAAAAAATATTTTGGCCTAACAAAAGATACTAAAATTAGAAGAAGTTGGAAACAATAACGTTTATAAAACAATTAAATGACTTTTTTGAAAGTTGCATTTTATCTAGTTTCAGCTTTTGCAGAAAAAAGGATCTTTTTTCATAAATTTAAGATTTGCTACCAATAAAGATATAATTTTTAAAAAAATTTAATTAAAGACATGAATTTTTTTTACTAATTAAAATTATCACTTTTAAAATTTTTTTAATCAAGTATATAACCTTAGCAATCTTTTTAATAAGAAATAAGTGGATGTGTAAGATCATATCCTTAATAAAAAAACTTAATTTTGAAAAGTGATAGCCTTGATTAGTAAGAAAAAAAGGGCATATCTTTGATTATAAACTTTTTAAATAGTTATATCCTTATTTGCATCAAATCTCAACCAATATAACATTTAAACAAAAAGAAAAAATAAAAAATAATTAGCATATATTTGGTTCAATACACATTTTGATGCTTATCTCGATTGAATTATTAAAATATAATATAAATATAATTAATTCAATTAATTCTTATAATTTGTATGCATAACTAAATCCTTATGTTTGTTTGTATTTAATTTCATCCTAAAAACTAATAATTTTTAATAAATATGTTGTTTTGTGCATTAAAATATAGTGTGTACTAATCATTGTTGTAATAAATATAATCATGCATGCATGCGTGTGTGTTACTGGAAATCTACATATAAAATCTTGTACTGTGGATGGAACCTGAAATCAATTCAAGGAAATGGTAACGACTGAAAATAAAATAAAATAAGGGATCCCAATTGTTAAGATATATTAAATAGCAGAAGAATAAAAGAATTGTTATGAGGCATAATCTCACTTTCCTTAAGGATTTAAAATCCTCCAAGATACAATAAAATTCAAAACTCTCTCAAAAATTAGATGTAGAACTCTGATATTGCATAAGAATTTATAATGCCTGAAAAGTCACTATTTGAAGGAATGTATCCTTCCAAAAGACACCATTTCATAGAAGTATCTTTTAACTGCCAATAATCATATCTGGTTTTTAAACATGTCTTTCCAAATTATAATTTAATAAAATAAAATAAAAAATTCGTAAATAATAAAAAATTAAAAATATTCTAGCAATCAAACCCTAAGGTGCCAAACGCCTATCTTTTGATTATATATAAAGGGTCAAAACTCAATTTTTCTTGGATTTCACTTTACTTAATTATTTGTTAATAAAAAATAAACATTTATAAACCCTTTTAAGTTCTTATACTTTCTTGATGTAAGATCTCAAACATTTACAAACTATTCAACAAAAATATCTGTGAGATTTGAAGAGTTGAATGCAAACCTGATCACCATCCTTGATCCCCAAAAAACAGATTAGTGCTTTGTCATCTATTAATATACCGTCTTTATAGCATAAGCAAAAATTGCCCCAAACATGAGACCTGCAAATTAAAAATAGATCTTAAACTACATAAATTGTTCCCATAATTTAAATTTATAAAAATATTTCTCAAATCGGCCTTGATTTCAATTAAGCATGACTAGAATTGCCAACCATACCAAGAAATATCAATGTCACTCTCTTGCATCGATTCTCTAAAAACTTGCTCCACAGCCTCTTTGAGATCTGCTACCTTCGCCATTCTCTCAACTTCCACGTCTGGAATTGCAAATTTCTCATAAAAATTACAAGCGACTCTTTTAAAGGATTTGTTAGGTTCACTTAAAAATGTTTTTTTTTTTTTAAATTATTTTAGAAAATCATTTTTGAAAATGATTAATGAGTATATTATTCTATACCGAAGGAAGAACCATCGAGCTTGCAAATGGAGAGCCTAATGGGAGACTGAGGCAGCTTTCGATACGAGAAACTTCGGAGAAGAGTGTTAATGTTCAATTGAAGAGGCCTAGTGGGACCGCAAAGGCGAGGCGAGGATGGGAATTTGGGAACAGAATCAGTCATGATATACAGAAAAAGCGGTGTGCAATGTTAGGTATTTTATGTTTCAGGTGTTGGTTATGTTCTCAAGTTTGCAAATATATGTAAGATTTGGAAAGTCAAAAGAAAAAGACGGAGGTTCTATTTTTGTTGGTTGGTTGAGCTTTGATGGCGGGCGCGGTTAGTTAGATCCACAACCACCATGGCTTGAACAAGAAAACTTGGGCATAAGTAAAACTGGAAAATAAAAGTAGGGAAATAACAATAAAAAAAAAACATTTTTTATTGGATTTTAATGAATGAAGAAGTCATAATAACATTTTTACTCACTTGAAATTTTGAAGGTGAAGAAATTATTGACAAAAGTTTCCTTGGAAGTATATAGAAAGACATTTTTTTTTCCTTGTACTCGTGAGTTAATGTGCTTAGTGTAGTGGTAGTAGTCCGAGGTCACAGTCTGACCTCACACAGCCCATAGTAGTCCGAGGTCACAGTCCGATCTCACACCACCCAAGGTCAAGTACCTCGGGCATCCAGACCTACTTCAAACCTAGTCACCTTGACAACATGGAACAACGAGCTCGGCCAAGCTCGAGTTCATCCCCTATGATCCTACTCTACAGTAGCTCCGTAAATGCAGGGATACTGTAAGGAAACCTTATGGGATCATCGACACATATAATCCTAATTTCTCATGAAGAACAACACGTGGAGGCCCCCTTTGAAGGCTATAAATACCCCCCAAGGGTCCTCCCCAAAGGTAATGGAAACTGAACTCAAGCTTAGCTCTTGATTCATATTTGGCAGCTCTGATTATTGCTGACTTAGGTATCAGAGTGTCTAGCCCGAGGACCCACCTTGGGGCTTTGCAGGTCTACCGAAGTAAGCGGATTGGATCTAGAAGTACTCTAGAGTTTTCTTGCAACTACATTGGCGCCGTCTGTGGGAAACCAAGCTAAAAGCCTTAACTAGCAGCTGTCGCGATGGTTAACACACGCTCAACACAACACGGAAGCCTTCAACAAGGGCGTGGAAGAGGTCAATTTCTCAATGGGAACCCTGCATCTCGCACTGCCCCACCCCCTACAGCCCAACACCAGCATATGTAGGGAACCGGGGAGTATAACCCAAACTCAGTAGAAAACCCAAATAACCGCATAGCCACCCAACTCAATGCCATGCAACAACAGTTCGGTGTGTTCCAGCTTGTGCTCGCTCAATTGTTAGCTAAGGATAATCCAGGTGACCCCCTCATTACCCTACTAAATCCCACCAACCAAGTACCTAACCAACAACCTCGACAGAATGTCAGTTCACTAGCTCGAACTGCCACTCTACCTCACAACGATTCCCTAGCCCACTCCCATATGGCACCTCTACCTCAACCACCATTTCGGTCGGTTGTCTTAGACCTTCCCAAGGGGCACTCGAAAAAAATGGTACCCGAGAACCGAACTCCTCAAACTCCGGCCCACCCGAGCTCCGCCCCAATCCTGAACCCTCTCAATCTCAACATTCTCCAAGAGCCATACCCATTTGGATTCAAAATGCCCAGTTCAAGACATATGATGGCACTAAGGACCTCGATGACCACTTGCACACATTTTGCTCCGTTATGCAGGCTCAGAATGCCTCAGATGCCTTGATGTGCAAGATATTCCCCTCTACACTGCGTGGAAACGCTCGGACTTGGTACTACAGCTTGCAGCCAAGCTCAATTAGTTCCTATGCCGAGCTGGCGGCATTCTTTGCAACGAAGTTCTCAAGCCATCTACTAATTAAAAAAAGGACCTTCGAGCTAATGTGGGTAGCCCAGAGGGAAGGTGAATCCTTGAAGAATTATATGAATAGATTCAATGATGCAGTGCTAGAGATCGGCTCCTTTAATCATGGTGTAGGGTTAGCTACACTAATCCAGGGCCTCAAGCATGAGAGATTCCGCAATAGTCTGACAAAGTACGCCTCTGCCACCTTTGATGAAGCCAACGAAAGATCTTGGAAGTTCATTCAAGCGGAGGAATATGCTTTGTCCGGCAAACCAACTCCAAGTAAAGAGATCAAACCTCTGACCTGGAGAGATGAAGGGCATAACAAGAAGAGGTTTAAAGCTACACAAAACCGAGGCCCATTCCTGCCTAAGGTGGACAAACCCCCAACAATTACTCCACAGCCCATGTCGAAGCAAGTCACTTGGACTCCATTTATACTGCCGAGGTCACAGATTTTAATGCAAATCAAGAACAAAATGGAGCTTAGAAGGCCCCTACCTATGTGGAGTTCCCTTGTCTCCAAAGTTCATAGCAGGTATTCTGACTTTCATCAGGACCACGGACATATCACGGAGGAATGTAATAGCCTGAAGTCAAAGCTAGAAGGCTTAGCCCGGAAAGGCATGCTGAATGAGTACGTCTCTAAAGGGGATTAGCTCAAATTCGTCCGGGAACAGGGACGACCTCAGGCACCTCAGGAGGCAAGCAACAGAGTTGGAGTTGGCTACCAACAAGCACCACCTCCACTCCCCCCACCTTCACGCATCATTCACATGATCACAGGTGCGCTAGAAGCTGGAGGAACGAGCTCAAAACAGCAGAAGTTGTATGTACGGGAAGTGCAACATCGGAACCGGGTTCAGAAGAGAAAATTTGATGAGACAAACTGGAAGAACCAGCCCATAACCTTCAGCTCAGTCGATTTTGATGGTGTTATCACCCCACACAATGATCCACTTGTCACCTCGGTCATTGTTAATAACTGCGAAGTCCACCGCGTCCTCATTGACACAGAAAGCGCTTAGGACATCATGTATTATCACTGCTTTGAGAGTCTAGGTCTCAACCCAGCTCTTCTATAGAAATATGACGGCCCTATCTACAGTTTCAACAATCAACCAGTTCCTATAGAAGGAGTTCTCAAGCTCAATGTAGCCTTTGATTCAGGTCGGACATATGTTACTCCCTCAGTTCGGTTCTTGGTCGTAAAGATGGCGTCCTCCTTTAACATTGTCATCGGAAGGCCAACTTTAATTGAAATTCGGGTTGTTGTTTCACAGTCTCACCTATGCATAAAATTCCCCACCCCCATGGGAGTAGCAACTCTGAAAGGAAATCAAGAAGTGGCCCGGCACTGCTATATGACTTCGGTCACCTTACCTTGGAGGGATAAGCTAGTAACTCCAGCTCCAACCCAGTCCGAGATACCAACTGCCCAACAGGTAATGGGTGTAGAGCTGCTAGACTACAGACCTGACAGCAATGCTAGAGCCACCAAGCAGAAGAAGTGGAAGAGGTATAGCTTGACCCCAATGACCCTAACAGGAAAACACAGATCGGCACTAAACTCAAGTCGCAAGAGAGGGAAGAACTCATCAACTTCCTAAAGTCGAATAATGATGTCTTCGCTTGGACCTCGATTGACATGCCTGGAATACCAACCTCGATTGTAGTCCACAAGCTGAGTACCAACCCTTTGAGAAAACCTGTAGCTTAGAAAAGGCGCCTGTTCGGGGGAGAAAGGCTACAAGCAATCAAGGAAGAAGTACAGAAACTTTTGCAAGCAGGCTTTGTTAGACGGGTAGACTATTGTGAATGGGTCGCCAACCCTATCTTAGTCAAAAAGTCAAACGGCAAGTGGCGGATGTGCATTGATTATACCAACCTCAATGAAGCTTGCCCAAAAGACTGCCACCCCTTGCCAAGCATAGACAAGCTAGTAGAGGCCGCATCTGGAAATGAAAGACTTAGCCTTTTAGATGCTTACTCGGGATATCACCAGGTCCACATGGCGCCCGAGGACGAGGTGAAGACCTCTTTCTACGCCGGAGATGAGATTTATTGTTATGTCATGATGCCGTTTGGGCTCAAAAATACAAGAGCCACATACCAAAAAATGGTGACCATTGTGTTCCGAGTTCAAATCGGAAGGAATTTGGAGGTCTACGTTGATGACATAGTGGTTAAGAGCCTCAAAGCAGAAGATCACCTGACTTACCTTGTGGAGAGATTTGATAATTTGAGGAGGCACAGTATGAAGTTGAACGCGGCTAAGTGCGTCTTTGGAGTTGAATCTGGGAAATTCTTGGGATTCCTAGTCTCTAGAAGAGGATTAGAGGTCAATCCCAAAAAAATAAAGGCAATAGAAGAGATGAAACCGCCAAAGTCAATCAAAGATGTACAGCGCCTAACTGGGCGGGTGGCAGCTCTGCACAGGTTCATTTCCAAAGCAGCTGATAGATGCCTGCCTTTCTTCAAGGTCTTGAGATCTACAACTCAGAAAGACAAAACAGGGAAGCCCAGGAAGTTTGAATGGACCCCTAAGTGCCAAACTTCTTTTGATGAACTTAAAGCGTACCTCAACTCACCCCCACTACTAACCAAGGTCGAAGAGGGGGAGATACTTTAACTCTACCTCGGAATCTCAGATACAACAGTAAGCTCAATCTTGATCAGGGAAATAGGATAGCTATAGAGGCTAGTTTACTACGCCAACAAAGTACTATAGGGGGCCGAATTGAGATACTCCACGGCAGAGAAAGCAGCTCTTGCGGTTGTCACTACGGCCCGGAAGCTAAGGCCATATTTCCAAGCCCATCCCATCATTATTCTAATTGAACTACCTTTGAGGCAGATTTTGCAGACACCAGAATGTTTAGGCAGGCTCATCAAATGGGTAGTGGAATTGGGAGAGTTCCAGATCACATTTCAGCAGAGGTCATCAGTCTGAGGTCAAGCTTTAGTAGGTTTTGTAGTTGAATGTATTTTCGAACATGGAAACGCCAACACTAAAGTCGAGCAATGGACTTTTTATGTGGATGGTGCATCTAACAGCAAAAGGGCAGGAACTGGCGTAGTTCTGATTGGACCTGAACATTTACGAAGTGAGCATGCTCTGAAGTTCAACTTTGAAGCAACCAACAACATGGCCAAATATGAGGCCCTTCTACTTAGACTTCGTCTTGCAACCGAACTAAAAGTCGGATCTCTCCAGATCTATAGTGACTCCCAGCTTGTGGTGAACCAGGTAAATTCCCTCTACGAGGTTGCAGACCCAGTTTTAGCCAAATACCTAGCTCTCGTTTTCGAGCTGGGGTGTCGATTTGAGAAATTCAGACTCACAAAAGTTCTGAGGTCAAAGAATGAGCATGCAAATTCTTTGTCACGATTAGCCTCTGATGCCTCCCCGGGGGGGGGGGAGATCTGTTTACATTGAGGTCCTTAATGAACCAAGCTTTCAGAAGGTGAAGGTACTTGAGGTTAGTGTTGATCCCGAAGCTCCGAGCTAGACAGACCCCATCAAAGCCTACCTGCAAGATGGAACCATCCTAGGCGATAAGCAAGAGGAGCTGAAGCTACGAAGAAAAGCATCTAGATATACCTTGCTTGACGGCATCCTGTATAAGAGGTCCTACTCACTTCCCCTCCTTCGCTGCTTAACCCCCTATAAGGAAGAGTATGCCCTCCGTGAAGTACATGAGGGTATATGTGGCAGCCATGTTGGAGCTCGAACTTTGGCTTACAAGGTACTTCGCCAAGGATATTACTGGCCCAACATGCAAGAGGATGCTAGGCAATTTGTCCAGAAGTGCCAAAAGTGTCAATTCTTTGCACACGTAACCCATCAGCCAGCGGAAGAACTCATGAACCTAGTGGCACCATGGCCTTTTGCCCAATAGGGGCTAGATCTACTGGGTCCTTTTGTCAAAGGTATAGGGGGAATGACACATTTGATCGTAGCGGTTGATTACTTCACAAAATGGGTAGAAGCACAACCTCTGTCCAGTTTGACCTCAAGAAAGATCGAAGATTTTGTCTTTAGTTCGATCATCTGTCGATACAGCATACCTAATCAAATTGTCACCGACAATGGACCTCAATTTAATTGCACCTCTTTCCGAGATTTTTGCTCCAGCTATGGAATTAAATTGCTATTCACTTTGGTCTATCATCCCGAGACTAATGGAATGGTAGAATCGGTGAACAAAGCTATTTTGGAAGGAATCAAGCCAAGGTTGGACCAGCTCAAAGCCAAGTGGGCAGACGAGCTCAACAACGTATTGTGGGCTTACCGAACTACCATTAGGACGGCCACAGGTATGCTAATAATCTTTAGTCCCTCACTCGAAGTCGTAAAAATTACATTTAACAATTTCGTAAACCACAACTCTTTTTAATGAAATAGGCGAAACGCCCTATCACCTGGCTTTTGGGACTGAGGCAGTCATTCTTGTCGAACTCGGTGTCCTGAGCTTGAGAGTTAGCCATTTCGACCCAACCCGAAATGACCTGCTACTCCGGAAAGATCTTGACCTCTTGGACGAAGTTCGCGAGCATGCTCGACTCCGCACAATTCCATATAAGCAGAAGATTGCCAACTTTTATAATAAACGAGTCCTACCTCGAAGCTTCAAGATTGGTGACCTCGTCCTCAAAAAGGCAGGACTCATCGGCTTCAAAACCCGCTTCGGAAAATTAGCACCGAACTGGGAAGGTTTGTATGTAGTGGCTGAAGTGCCCCATCCCGACACTTATGTACTTCAAGATGCCGAGGGTAAAAGAATCCCTAGAGTATGGAATGTAAACAATATAAAAAAATTCTACTCTTAATGAAGCTTATTCTTATCATTGCATTTTCTAAAGTCAAGATGACATACTTCTTTTTACCTCGGAATAAATACGTTACATTCATTTTATTTCTGAAGCCGAAGTTCGGACTTCACTTTAGCCACGATCATAACCTTATTAAGCTTAACGTTTTAATGTTGGAACTTGTCTTATCCGGACATCCGAACTCACGCGATTACACAAAACACTAAAATGTAACAAATTTTCTATTTTCATTAATTCTACTAAAAAAGAAATACAACATT